AAATAAATAAATAAATAAATAAATAAATAAATAAACTAAATAAATAAATAAATAAATAAATAAATAAATAAATGTATTTATATATTTCTTCTTGAGTGTTTATTGGGGTGTATAGACAGGTGGTGTCTGCGTATATATCTCTGTCTCCTTTCTCTTTGTTCTTCTTCGTTTGCTTCTCTACACCTTAATATAGAATAAACAAAAACACAACAAAGAGCAGCACTAACTAAACAAAATAAAGGAAAAAATATAGGATGAGGGTTTAGGGTTTTTATGTGAAATATAAAAGGAGACAGAGGAAGCAAACACCCCACCACTAATGTCGCTATCAGCAGCAGCTTTGGCCCGTTACCCCCAGATTCTTCCATTGCAAGCAACACAACTCTCCTGCTGCTGCTGCTGCTGCTGCTGCTGCTGCTGCTGTTGCTGCTGCTGCTGCTGCTGTTGCTGCTGGGGTTGGTGGTGCTGGGGTTGGTGGTGGTGGCGGTGGTAGTGGTGTTGCTGCTGGTGGTGCTGCTGTCGCTGCTCGTGTTGTTGTTGCTGCTGTTGCTGCTGTTGCTGCTGCTGCTGCTGCTGCTGCTGCTGCTCAGGGCGGTCGTGGGGGATGTGCTGCTGCTGCTGAAGGAGCTGCCGTCTTCTTCTCTTTTTTATATTTTATGAGGAGGAGACAGAGCAGCTGCAGCCGAAACACACACAGCCAGCAGCAGCAGCAGCAGCAGCAGCAGCAGCAGCAGCAGCAGCAGCAGCTAGCAGCAGCAGCAAGAACAGGCTGTATAGCTCGTGTAGGGTTGGCTTGTTGTTAGTGAATTTATAATAAATAAGAAGAATGAATATAATTAAATAAAATAAACAAATATAAAGAAAAAGAAAAAGAAAAAGAAGAAAGAAGACCACGCTGAGCTGTGCTGCGGATCGAGGCCGGTTCTAGCTGCTGCTGCTGCTGCTGCTGCTGCTGTTGCTGCTGCTGCTGCTGCTGCTGCTGCTGCAGCTCGCTAGTAGTATCTGTTGAGTGTTGTTCTTCATCTGCAGCTCATCATTTTGGTTTATTTTATTATTTCTTTTCCTTTCATGAGTTTATATTCCCTTTTTGTATTTCTTTGTTGAGGATCTCAGGTGTATAGGCAGCTCTGCGTACCGATACACAAACAACGGCTGTACTTTCTCTCTTCTTTTTTCTCTCTGTCTGCCGCAAAAGGCATCGATAAAACCCTAATTAATTCATTTATTCATTTCCAGTGAGTTTATATTTATAAATATGCATTTATAATTACCTTAATCCCTTTATATAAACCCCTCTCGATACATACAGCTGTACATACACCGCGCAGCAACACCACTCACTCACTCTCCTTCGTTGCTGCTGCTGTTGTTTTTTTTTTTTTTGTTTTTCTTCTTAAGGAGAAAACAAATTAAATAAAATATTGAGCGGCCTCAACAACCTCGACAGCTCACACACAAATACACGCAGCTGCTGCTGCAGCTGTACGGTATTTGCTGCCGTCCTTGCTGCTGCGCTTGCTGCTGCTGCTGCTGTTGCTGCTGTTGTTGCTGCTGTTGCTGCTGCTCTTGCTGCTGCTGCTGCTGTTGCTGCTGCTGCTGCTGCTGCGAGTCGAGCTCCTGCTGCTGCAGCAGTGCCTCCTTCCCTTCGTTGCATCTCTGTCGGCTTCTGTGTACCCTCCTTGCTGCTGCTGCTGCTGCTGCTGCTGCTGCTGCTGCTGCTGCGGCTGCTGTTTTTTTATATGTTGCAGTTGTTTGTGTTTCTGTTGCTGTTTGTTATACAGGCCGGTACCTCTGTTTTATATTAAAAGAATGGCCAGCAGCAGCAGCAGAAGCGGCCGCAGCAGCAGCAGCAGCAGCCCGCAGTTCGTGAGCCCCCGGGGTGTATCGACAGAAGACATCTCTGGCTTCTCTCCTCAGCAGCAATACATGCAAACCATGGCCCCCAACCAGCAGCAGCAGCAGCAGCAGCAGCAGCAGATGCTGCAGCAGCAGCAGCAGCAGGATATGGAGGAACGCCACTGGGTAGATCAGCAGCAATGGGAGCAGGAGCAGCAGCAGCAGCAGCTGCTTATGCAGCAGCAGCAGCAGCAGCTATACGGGAACCCAGAATGGCAGCAGCAGCAGCAGCAGCAGCAGGACTACGCAGCAGCAGAAGCAGACTATATGACGCCTTTGGATACAGAGAAGCTCAACCAGGCGGTGCTGCAGCACCTGCACCAGCAGCAGCAGCAGCAGCAGCAGCAGCAGCAGCAGCAGGAGACTGAAGACCTCAATAAGATGATAGGAGAGGGAGAGTGGAGGCCCCCCCAGAGGGGCCCCTCCTGGGCATACACCCGGGCCCTCTCAGGGTACACAGGTTTTGAGTCGAAGCAAGCAGCAGCAGCAGAAGCAGCAGCAGCAGCAGCAGCAGCAGGAGCTGATGGGGAGCAGCAGCAGCAGCTGCAGCAGCAGCAAAGCGGCATTCTGGCCATCAACTCTGGGGTGTATGTACAGGGCGTCAAGCAGTGGAATGCAGCAACAAACACA